CACGATACTATATCCTCAGTTTCGAATTAGAACTTTGATCACACAAGTTATGTGGCAGAGCTCTGTCGTACTCTCAGCTCCCTTACTCAGATGTCTGGTTTGGATATCACATGACGACAAATTGGAGTGCTCATTAGGGGATAAGCAGGTCTAAGTGTGTTCAAGATTTTTCCAGCAAAATTTTATTTCGATCTCAGCAAAAGAATACAGGTTTACACCTAGAGATCAGGAATGGTTTTGAAATCCAAGGCACTTTGTTTTGTTGCATCATTCACCTACAATTGTTGTGCGCGTCACGGTTCACTTATGTTTCACCTCACACGACCACCTTTGATATCAACATTCTCAGATTATCCAGGCCATTCGATCTCACGAGACCCAACATCAGTATCGTGAAACTCCCCGCGACAAAAAAATGCAACGCTGCCGTAAGTGAACGAGGCAGGTCTTATTGTTGGATTTGGGTATTTTTTGCGCCCTTACATATACCCAACCACCGCTCTGGTGGCGACATTTAAAGTTGTGACGCAAAAGAAATGTGCTCAACGCTACGGAATATTCAACGTGTCCAATTCTACTTACAGCGTTTGAGCCGACGTTGATGTATCAAGACGTGGGATGAAGGTTAGTTGATCATAACTGTTTACTTGGTTGTGATGTGTGCACTAAGCATCATCTTATGAATGGTGCTCTGAACATCCAACTAACTGACCTATGTATGGCCTATGTATTCCTAAAACAAGTACCAACCAAATTCCCCGTAGTCCTTGTAATCGCGTGCCTCCCCATCAATAGTATCACCGTTACACTGGTATGATGAAGGATATTCGACATGAACCTGAGAAGGATGCTACAAGATAAATCCACCATGCCGATTCAGTCGAGCTTTAGTTATAAACAGACGGCCGTATGGAACATGAGGCCTGTGTATTTGTATAATTCGTGCTCTACTTCGAAAGTCCATTATCAATTTGCCGAGAAACTTTCGCCACGTCGTATAAGCACCGTTCTCTCGTGCTGCGATATTCTGTGTGTAACCCGGTGATTCTCATGGAAGGCTCCTTTTTAGCTACGCGTGATATGATGTGTTAAGAATTGTGACATCTTTGCACAGGTTTCAAATTCTTTTACGATTTAACACTGAGATCTCATCCACAACAACCGCAGATTTTCGCCCACGCTGAGCGTTCTTGCTTCACTGTACTTCCCATTTACTCAGAGCCTCCGAACAAATGTACTATATATATACCGTATTTATTTATATAGTGTAAGAAGAAGTTCTATAGAATCTGGAATCTACTTTGCCCGGAGTCATCTTGACAGCACCACACCAGAATCCTCTGCAAATTTAAAAATTCTGGGGGTCTGTACAATCGCAGGTTTTAGCTGTTGTGTCAGCAATTCAGCTGGAAGCAATCCAGTTACTGACCAAAAGTCGCCCAAGCTGACTTGATATGACTTGACGGGTTAACCAATTTACCATTGCTAAAAATGGTTCTGCGTTTCTGTCACTGTGTTTCATGTCTTTGGGACAATTCGCTCGCTGAGTATTTAGTGGGTACATGCATGCCCAAAATGTCACATTATTAGCACCTCAAAATCTCGTAGACCTCGGCTGAGTGCTTCGAAAAAACCGTCCTGTTTGCCTGTTGCACTGGAAGTGTGGCTTAAATAGGCCTGATTTCCGAGGAATTGGAAAACAAATGAAAGTGCAGCAAAGGCATCAAGGATGATCCTACCAAAACAGCTAGATTCCCGTTGGGTAAATAAGTAAGGTTTGCGGTTTTCTGCCGAAGGGGACGGATCATCAGGCAACGGGGCTCGAATAGTACGCCGACGACGAACAAAGAGCAAATCAAAGAAGGTCATCTTCTATGACGGTTATCGTGGGCATTGCAAAACCAATACATCCATGCTGAAGCATAGGCAGCAAAACGTATCCCACTCTTCGAGCAACGAAATATATTTCGGCAAATGGAAGACAACACAACATACACTCGCCCCCAGCACATTTTCGGACCAATAGGCGGCCCTAACTAAAACAGACAAACTAAAGACAGCTACTTCTTTCATCGATGTGCACAGCCGTATGACTGCACTAGCGGGCATACCATTGACAATAGCGACAGGAGATATCGAGTACAGTGAGCTACAAAGCGGTATGCCCTTGTGCAGAAAACATAGCGTTGTAGTCACGCGAAGATTTCATTCAATAAAATAATTTGCCGTAAAGGGGTAATGCAAAATAGAACTCGGATAAGTGATCAGAGCATATCGATTAATGCTGGGCTCAGCGATAGAGGCGCAAGTATTAGTTGCCATTTGGGATAGTAGTGCAAATCGAGCATACGTCCAGATGGAATTAAAGCTTCGAGCAACGAAATATATTTCGGCAAATTTGTTGGGGTCGCACAAATCCTCTGCATGACTACTGAAAACGAATCGCGGTTGAATAATTGAACTGGATGCTTGGCTCTAACTGTCCACGGTGGTCATTCCCTAGGTGACATCGTCATATCGCCAGGTGCTTAAGAACGATATTTCCTACACAAAATACCGTCGACCTCTGGTTTACGGTGGCGTGATATCGCATAAGTGCGCCTGATTGAAGCTTTCTTATTGTTTGAGGATCCATATTCGTCCGAAGGAGGAAGATTACGAACCTATTCGCTGAGTGAAGATATTTCAGAAGTAGTTTAGATTATAATTTAGCCTTGGATGAATTCATGGAGGTGAGATTGTCAACCGAGTTGTTATCAGATCACCAGTGATCTGTTTGTCAAAGGAATGATATACGCTCGAAAACGGCCAACCCGCGCCCGTAAGTCCCTATTTCACCAATGTAGGAAATGTTCAAACCAATATTCTGCAAGGTAAAAGAATCAATGTCGCCTCGGTGTTCCGTCTCATGTGCTGGTACGTCTGATGTTACATTCAAACTCACTCGCACGTTGAACCAGCGTGGTCCGCGTGTATTTCAGCAGACCAATACTTTAGTAGCATTTAAGTAATAATGGTACATGTGAGCTTCATGCTCCTGATAGTGGAAATAAATTCAAGGGAACTAAGTAGTGTACCACAACAGCTGGTGCGCCGAATTTTCCCTTAATTTTCCACTGAATAGAGAGAATCCTTTCTTTTAAGAAGCAGTATATGTTCAAAGAGTCTGCGAAATTATCGGATTTTGTTTCACTCAGCCAATTCATTCATAGTTTATGCAGTGTGTGCTTGACGTCCATGTTCGTTCGTCATTGACATAGATCTGCACCAGCGGAAATTCTGCCCATTCCGGTTTCTCCCAAAATATACATGGACGTTTAAACGATTCAGTGTGTAACGTTTGCGTAACAATTATGTTGAGAACAACCAACCCAATTTGCTTTGTTTGGGTAAGGCGAAAATATGGATAATACAATTTTTTTAAATGAAAATCCATGAATAACAGCGCCGTCCGGCTAATAGTCGAACTTTGGGGTGACAACGTGTCCAACAAATACGGGCATGGAGGAATCACACACGAGGGAGAAGAAGAACGGATAGTCGAGAGAAACTGTCTTAGGAAACTGAAAGCTGGCACACACAGTAAATAAGGTCGCGGCAGCTGCTGTCACCCCTTCTTCATCAAGCTGAAAATAGAAGGGAAATGAGAACAGGATTATTTGCTCAGAGGTAATACACTACTCAGAATAATGCCGTGGCTCTCCAAGTGCTCGTTTCTGAATGGGTGAAACAAGAGTTCTGGTCAAAATGTAGGCTATGAGGTAGACATTTGCAGGTAATACAATGTCATTTATTGGCGAACAATACATGGTTTACCAAACCGAACCCCAGAATGAATGGATTAGTTGATCGGTAGTACACAGATTAGTAGGGAACCAGGTGGGCTATGTTACCAACTGTCATATGATTAAAGAAAATTAGCTGACCACTGCACAGACTAAAAAGATATGGTCCACATTCACCTGCGAGATGACTTTGGTGGTATCAAGAAGGCCCGTGAGACTATCAGGTTAGAATCATCTAAACTACTGAATATCACTCAGATTATTGGAATGAACAGCCCGAGAATTAAACCTACCTCTAGCACGGCTTTGTGATATGCATCGGTCACCGACAAGCGTGATTGCCACATCCTGGACAAGTCTCCTCCATCAAACAATTTCTTCATTCCACATTCACACAAAATTGGCTTCAAATCTATCATGGGTTGATCCGAGAGCTTGAATTTCGGAAGAAACAAGTGGGCTTCTTCCATGTGGAACGGGCTTCTCAATGCGGAAGCCAATTGTCCTGGTGCTTGTAATCTGGAAAGAAGTTTCGGCAAACCAGCTGTTTCGTGTGGCAGCAAAATCAACAGCGCCCATTCACTCTATGCAGCAGATGAGCCGATCAGTTTGATGACACAAATGTGCGACCGATATGGTATGACAATATTCTCGCTTCTCTCCTTGTTCTTTGCTAAACCGTCGGTAGATATCCCCTACCTCGCTTGGCAATCGGTTGTTCGTCTGTCGGACGCGACTAAGCAGGTGAGTAGTTGTTTGGTCGTGACAGCAATCTTATCCCTTCTTCATTGCAGATCAACCAGCCCGATGGTTCATAAATGTGGCCTTTGGTTCATTGACAGTAATCAGGCTGTAATGTGTAACATGTAGAAAGCACTTACAAATTGTCATGAGGGGTCATCAACGGATGGAAGGCTGATCAGTGTTTCTACACAAAACTGTACAGAAAATTGTTGTAGGCTTCTCTCGAGATGTGGCGATTCTCTGTAATAGGTCACATATAGGTTCCCCAGAGCTGCCCACATGCCAGTCTCTGTAGAACAAGGAAACATGATGAGGTGACGGGCTGTGGGGCCAGTAGTACTCACGCAAGACATTCCAATGCCTCAGGACGTCATCATCATCGTCATCATCGAAAGCATTATGTGAGTGCTCAACACCGATGTTTCGCTGCCGTACTTCAGTGCAACAAATATATGCGCGTCAGCAACATACGTCTTCGACATCGGAATTTGAAGCTAATTGCCGTTTGGTACATGAATAGACTTACTCGCTCCGCCGGAAAGAAAGTTTTATCGCCATACAGTCCAGTTCTGCGAGATAGGCCAGATAGAACGGCGATTTCCTATACATCATTTGCACTTTAATTGATTCTCCGTTCAAGCAGTGGAAGTCACTCTCTTGAGTTTGTTCCTTATCAAACGGGTGATCCCATGAGCCCATGGATTTGTTCATACCATAGTTGGGTACCACAGACATTTACCTCGAAAATACGACGCGTTGATTAGCAAAAATTTTGAGTTGTGGCCCAGAAAACCAGGCGGCGACAGTTCCCTCATTTTATCCTTTGTATTTTCGGCAACCCAGGTGTTAATATGGCTTTTTCTGGCCTCTACAATTTGTAGTTCCCTTAGCTTTATATCACAAGACTTAAAGAGTTTCTTAAGGGAAAATGATTGCCAGCTCAACTAAGGCCTTGTAACACTTGGCAACTAGAGCACTGTATTCCGGTCGAATATCGATCGAACTGAGAAGAAATAACCGATTAGCAAGGTTCAAGTCCACGTCACTGGACGCCTCGAAATACTTCGAAATTATTGGTCCACATGACTGATGAACAGCATCCGATCTGATTTTCGGAGGAATATGAGGCACCTGCTGCATCTTTTGCAGTGTTTCTCCGTCGGCTCCGGCCATCACCAACAACGAGACACAATAAATACTCATGGGTGAAACTACAGAGTTCGCTAAAGTTTCTGCAACGTGTGTGAACAAGTTTGTTAGTCGGAAATGCATCATTGTCTTACCGGCTTGCAATTTGATAATTTTTTCATAAACATCTGTAGCGAATTCTGTGAGGCCTTCTTTGAATTGGAGAACGTCTTCCATTTCTTTAGCCTGCATATTGTGACTAGTCTGGTTTACGGGATCAAATGGTTTGTGGAGATAAACAATAGGTACGTGTTGTTTTTTACATAGTGTGTGAGCAAGGTTAAATTGTCCCTCCAATTCGTCCAATTCCAAACCCTCGGTCACTTGCTGAATCTCATTAGCGTGTTTCAGTTCTGAATGAGAGAACCGAACAACAGGTATTTCACAGTGACAGGTCGATGAGTTTGGTGAGACAAAACGTGTGCATATGTTCTGTTTGTATGGTTGTGTTTCACGGTTGCTTTTGCGTGCGCGAATGGCTCGGAGGGTGGACGGGTGGATATGATCATCGCTTAAGTGCACATTATTTTCAAATGTCCCTGGTAAACAATCGGTGTAATTCATCGATGGGCAGGTTGAAACGATGAGACTCTAAGATAATGGCGACTCAGGGGTTTCCGAACTTCGTCCATTTGACTGCAAACTCACTGTTTTAGATGTCCACCTTTCGTTATATAGTGTACACGACAGAAGCTGGTCCAGGGAGTTTTCAGCTATGTGAGCGTGACCAGGGCGTGGTGTTACACGGATTATTCAACGATACGTTACATTAGGTCCGAGGTAAATAACAAATGTGGCTTAATTGTCTTATATTTGGTGACCATGGCCTTTCATTCAACTGACTACTCGCAGAAATGTTCAAGTACACGCACGCAAGCAATGATAATTTTCGTTCTATCTGAACCACAAGAGTACTTTGTTACATCCATATTTCCGAACGTTCTGTATGAACAATGGATTACTGATCAGCTGATGGAGGGGGCAGTTCCATTGCAAGGTCATGAGTCACAGACACGTGAGTGGAACTCGCATGTGTTCATGTGCTAAAATGTGATAGGGTAGTCCATATCCCGAGACGGGCGTCTTCAACTCGTTGATCCATTTTTGCAACCATTTCCAAATGTAGATTGGATGGATACAAAGACCTTGGAACTACGAAACGAATTTCGGTCATTTCATCTGGTTGAAACTACCCGACATGCCGCACCATTTTATTCGTATGCGAGACCTCTGCGAGTGTTGTGGAAGCCATGATCCATCCAGATATGTGTACGGTCATTGTTATGAACACGCGTGTTTCTTCACATATACTGGCAGACTGATACGGCGCCCGGAAACAATATAGATAAACTGTGTTGGAGGCTCACCGATATTTCATCATAAATATATGAGGATTCTACCTTTCGTGACTCGGGCTAGCAATTCTAGAGACGCCATTATGTTTCACCAAAAACAAACGCAGTGTATCTCTGGTCGTTGTAACCTTACAGCCTTCCTGAACAGCAATTTTGCTGTCTGGCATTTTTTGTATAAAGTCAATTTCCATTTCGTGGACTCCGTGAATCCGTATAGAGCGAGTTAGAAACCGTGTTTTCAGTTGCGCAGCAGGCACTTCCATTGTAGAATGTGTCTAGCAAGGGAAGCTTCGTGGGTTGGGACATGTGTTGCCTATGGCGAACCATCGTTTGCCCAAGAGAGTGCCGTTTTGTTTGCCAGATTCACAGTGGCGTAAACAGAGTGGTGGCCAACCCTTGTCTTGGCATAGGAGTATGAGGTAGATCACGAAACGCCTGTGTGCCGTCGATGCAAATCACCTTCCAGGATAGGAACTGCGCGATCCTCATCACGTCTGGTTAGAGACTCTTCAGGATTTGGCTGACAACCGATATCATTGGCGTTTTGTTGTCAGTTTCTATCCATTTTGCCTGAGTGAATGTTTAGAGATGTAGGCACCTCGGAATGATTGTGATAAGCCTGGTACTAAGTCACTTCCCCGTCCATCTTCATTCTTTTCTTTACCATAAGGCTTTCAATTTAATTATGGTTGTACGGCAGTGAATCATCTACGTATCGCGCCGAATGTAATTTTGGGAAAAGCAGATACATTTTTCAGTGGACAGCAATACTTCGTTAACAACTCAATCTCGGGAGCATAGACGTCGGTCTCCTTCAGAACTTTCACACATGACTGACGGATTCTACGGAAAAGCTATTTCTCCACCACCGAGACTGTTTTTAAACACTGGGGTGGGCATATGAAGAATAATTTTTAACTTAATAAGGACTTACAGACATTCAACGCGGAATGTAGTAATTCATCCAATGGCGATTGTATTAGTTAGATATCACGAGGCGTACACATAGGCCCCGAAATTCCAACTCACATGTCGTACTCACATTTACTGGCCAATACGTGTCCAAAGTAAGTGAAGGAATGAATTGTAAGCATTCGCTTCACTATTAACCAAACCGTGAATAGGTTGATATCTTCCCATATACATTGAGATTCTTATAATTGATACAGTTCCGAAATCTTATCACGTGTCTCATCCGAATGAATCTGCTACGTGCACGTATTAGCTTGGACGAGATCAGTGATTCAGACACTTTCAACCAGCATCTCCGTATCCGTCTCCATTACCAGCATCACCTCAAACACAATATCTAGATACAGTTGGACTATGGAACTTTTGAAACTTCATCAAAATCAACCACTTCGTTCATCATGCAGCTTAGCAAAATGAATGTGCCACACTGCTGTTCACCAAACAACCCCAAGTCTGTCATGAGCATCGTGCGTTACTTGTGGGATGGGTTAGTCCAGGTCATCGAACGGCTTGTAAGCATGCAACCGATTGTTATCAAAGATAGTCTAACCGCGGAGTTCATAGGCAATTCGTTTCGGCATCTAAACAACAGGGAAATCAACGTTTTGTAAGTTACCGATCATTGTGAGGTAACACCGTCAAGCTGGAACTAATTCAATTCGTAGGAAAAAACGGAAGTTAACCGTTGGCTGAGAGCCATCTGTGGTTCAATGGAAGCATAAAGATCTTTACGCTTTCGTTGAAAAGGATTCGGTGTTGTTTATTTGTGCCCGCGTGCAGCGAGACGGATCAAGTGGTTGGAGTGCGAACTTACTAACCAAACTTTATGTGCTACGAAGCTGACCTCTGCCTCTAAACTGCCCCTGTCTAGGTTTGGGCAACATGGCAGTATCCCAGCCCTCGTGCTTCCTTCGGGTGGCATGGCAGCTGGGCAACGAAGAGGTGCTACAGCTGAACGAAATATATTATTGTACGGCAGTGAAGCATCGGTGTTGAACACTGATGTCATGCTGTCAATGATGGTGATTTTAACTTCTGTCCAATTCGTAAATCAAGGGATAACACAAACGCAGTCGCTTCGCTTCAATAAGAATCGTGTCCCGCGTTGATCAATGTGATGGGCGTGATGGTGGTCACGAAGTCACTTTGCTGCCGCTTTCGAGATCTACGTGGTTAAACACAGTTTACCGAAGATTAGTGAACTAGCTCAGCCGCATACAAGGTTCAGTAAACCCCGAGAAATCATACAAGTAAGTTGTACAGATGCTTGCTCCAATTGCGCAGGGAAGCATTCATGCGCACTGGATCAATATGACCTAAAGTTTGTGTGCGAAACTCTTAGAGCCCCAATTGTTTTCCCAGCCGGTTTTTTCCTCTCAGTATCCAGTCCCTTAAGCAAACAACAAACAAGTTGAAACCGAACACACTCATTCAACTGACTATTTTGTTTCTAACTGAGAAACGCAAATTAATCTCTCGATTATCTTTATTTGCGCAGGTAAATCCGAAGAACCCAAACCAATGGAGTACAATTGTTTCCACAAAAACGTTTCGCCTTGATAGATTTAGTTATAGAAATAAAAGACGAGTGTGAATTTACTTGAAAATCACAATTTAAAGTGACGGCGTTCTATTGTTTAATCCTTTGGTCAAGCTGATGCAACACTTAACGCGTTAGAAAATGCCGACCCTTTTGGTTAAGATCAAAGCCGGACTGATTATGACCAACAGGACGTAACCCCAGCAGGCGTAGTTGTGGTCCTGTTGTTCTGTTTGAAAGGTTTGGTGCCTTTTGTGTTGTCTGAACTGCCGTAGATATTTGCTGGCGTTCAATCTAAGTGAGGTCTCACACTAATGTCTCCAAGTCAATGAGGAACAATTGAAACAAACATTNCCCCCAATCTTGTGTGTACCTTGACCTCCAGGGTGCCTTGGGTTCCGTCCGTCGTTCAGTGTTGTCAACCACAGTTGCTCTGTAGCGAACGCCACAAAAATTTGTGCACACAATCCGGCTCCCATATTCACAATGTTCTGGGCGCGTGTCAGTGTATGGAGGGCTCTCTAGATAATGTCCCACAATTATCGGGTCCGACAGGAATGCTCATTCTGTTCAAACCCTCTGGAATTCGTCGTCGATGTATTAATCGGGCAAACACGATAATTTCTGCAAAACCCGCGCCTTTTTGGGGGCGAATTTGTAGGCGTGCAATGCAAATACAGTGACATGCTCTAACTCAAACAAAATGTGGAGTTCGAGCCATGCCATAAAATATATTGAACTTACCTAGCAATCAGTTGGGCCACGTTGAGTTACACGCAACGCACTGAAAGTCAAATAGTTCAGATGGACTTTCAGTGACAGATGTGGTACCACGAATACAACAATCAGGTGACAGTATTGTACAAACCTCAAATTTTGCGACCTTGCCGGGTTCCATGCACCGGTTTGGGACCTGCTGACTTCCAACGGGACACCAAAGTCCGCACCAATTTAAGTCGACCTGGCAACGAGAGAGCGAAACCCACGAATCAGTTTAAACAACACGCGTGACGGCAAGGCGAAAGGGCGTGTTATGTTCAGGTGATAAACTAGAGAAGTGGTATGGGCGCGAAACCGAAACAACAAAAGGCACAATAAGAGTAGGAGAGAAGCATCGACAAAATGTCCAACCGATTGTCGACGTTCTACATGGACGTTCAGCGAAAAAATTCATGTTCAATAACATGCAGTATCTGAGCATTTACCTTGGAATTCAGTACTGGATTGTTATACCATCAGTAGTATTGACAGTAGTATCATTATTAGTTCTGACTGCTGCTGATTTCACCTCGTCGGATCGAATCATTCAGATGTTGGCAGACTTGGTAATTCATTGGAATGGCTGCGTACAACGGTACTCGAGGGTCACCACTACTGGCAATGATAAAAATACCTGAAGAGTATAAAAAGGTTTTGATTAACATGGTGTGAACATCGGCTCATCAATGGATGACGTACATCTGAGGGGACTGTTGTTAATTCAGGTGGTGTAGATGGTCAGCGGTTTGTTCATTCGCCCGAGCAATTAGATTGCAGGCGTTTCATCTATATTAGAGCCAATATCAACAGTGCGTTGACGAAGAGCGTGATGGAAATTCGGTGGTTGTGTGTCGGACATCGGTGATTGTGAGTAAGTTTAGGTGATGCTAGCCTAGACCGATTTCTCAGTACGATTGGTTTTTCGATCAGACGATTCG